GCTCAGGTCCAGTAGGTAAAAATGCTATGTAAATGCAGGCCGAGGGGGAGAGTGGATGGGGACAATCACGCTTTGACACAGTTAAAGGCAGCTGTACCTAATGATCTGCACTCTCTGTCCTCCACACATTTCCCCTCTACAGTCTCATCTTCACTTCCCTCACACACCCAGTTCTCACTTCTTGATGTTAGTAGTGCAACAGAAACGCTCTGTTCCACTTTAACATCCTGCATTGATGACATTTGTCATCTCTCCACAGAACAATGCGCCCTACTTTCTCTAACTTAATTCTTCTAACTTAGTTCAGCCAAAACCCTTTACTACACTAAAAAAAATTAACAACAATTTAGACACCTACTTATTATTTAGGATGTTCAATACTCTGCTCTGTCCTCCTCCACCACTTCCTTATCAGCTGATGATTTGCCCTCAATCTGTTTTCCAACACGTCCATCCCAATTCTTCCATCTGCAGGGAATTCACTCTCCTCCTTCTCACTCTTTACAGAGGAAGGAGTATTCACATTTCTCCTCTCCACCCATCCTACAACCTGCCCTCTGGACCTAATCCACTCGCACATCCTGCAGGATATTTCCTCGATTTTTGTGCCGACCCTAACAAACATCATTAAGATCTCACTCTGCACTGGCACATTCCCAACTACTTTTAAGCAGGCCAGGGTAATGCTATTGCTCAAAAAAAATTTTAAAAAATAAAAAATAAAACATAACCCAATACCTTATTGATCAAAAATTACAAACCGTAATTTCCATCTCCTTCCTTTCATTGGCAAAACACTGGAAAAAGTTGTTTTTAACTAATTTTTCACATTTTTATCTTGCAATAACCTGCTGGATCCAAACCAATCAGACTTCAAATGTGGACGTTCCACTGCGACTGCACTACTGTCAGTCACTAAAGCCTTGCAGATTGCCATAACAGGTTCTAAATGATCCATTCTGCTTTTACTAGACCTGTCTGCTGCTTTAGATACAGTAAATCACCAGATTCTACTCTCCACCCTCTCCTCAATGGGCATCACTGGAACCCCGCTCTGCTGGTTGGAGACTTACCTCACCGGCAGCTTATTCAGTTAGCTTGGAACAAGTTCAAATCATTGATGCGCACTGACAGAACAGCTACTGGCACTGCTCCCTCTTACCTCCACCTGCTTCTGAATGTCTACATCCCCTCCAGGAGCTTTCGGTCAGGGAGTGAGCACCACCTTGTGGTACCATCGCAGAGAGGCCATAAGTCACTTTCCTAAACCTTTTCATTCAATGTTCCCCACTGATGGAATGATCTGCCCATTCCCACATGGACTGCGGATTTACAGGTATCCTTTAAAACTGAATGTCACGTTTTAGCGTGATCAAAACAGAAACAAAAACAAAAAAGGTGCGGATCCAAGTGCAGATATTTAATTATTAACAGTAAAACAACGAGGTGATCAAAATACAAAGTAACAAACAAACGACAAAACCAGAAACTAAAACAGAGACAAGGCTCAGAAACAATAACACTAGACTAAGGCAAAATTACAAAAACACAATCAGGAACAACGAACTATGAATACAAGACTTACTGGATACTCGGACAAGTAAGACAATGTAGACAAACGACGCGATGCAAAACAGAGGTGAAATGGTTGTATAAATAGTCCAGATAATCAACGGTAACACAGAACAGATGTGATGACAGGTCAGTGTATATGTTCCGGTGTGTGCGCGGGGCATGTATGATAATGTAGTTCTTTTCCTGGGACGCTGTAGTCCTTACAAACTCCTAGTGCACTACAGCGCCCTCAGGTGGTCACTGACGGATGTGACACTGAACCCCTGTGAATAATTTAAGAACTCAAGGATTCTGGTAGTGCCCAATATAGCAAAGTCCACTAAAGGAGGTCAAGCTTTTTTATATGTTCTCCTTAAGTCTGAAATAGCTTTCCTGATAATGCCAGTGTTATGTCCCCTTATTTATTAATAGTGCTCTTTTTATTTTTGGGAAGTGTTATGTGTCTCTCTGCAGGAAGCAGCTGCTTGCTCCTTTGTTTGGTCCTGCCCCTGCTCCAATTGATGCCACACCCTGCCTAGTCAGCTGACTCCTGGCTGCCTATTAATTCTTCCATTGGCACTTCCTGTTTAGCTGTTTGAGCTCACTTGTGGTTGGTAGTGGTGTGTTTTTTATTATAGAAAGAAATTGTGTGTTTAGTAGTTAGATTTGTTGAATTTAAGTTTGTCTGAGTATCTGAAGAAAATCTGTAAAAGTATGTAGTGCATTAGTACTTGCTTTGTTGACACTGACAATCTGACCTCTACCTGTTAAATGCCTGCTGTTTTGCCCCTTTTGGATTTGCTTGCTTATTGTAAATATTTAAGTAGGTAGCTTTTCTTTTATACCTTTTTTAATTGACTGTTTTTGTGGACGAGGAATTAAAGTGTATTTTATTTTCTTTCTTTTTGCTGAAAATAGGGAATTTAGAGGGGATTTAAATTTAGATTGATTTGTTTATTGTTTTGCCCTGGTCAGCTCCTGAATTTGAAAACAGAGACACATTTTGTTTGAGAAAATCATTGTGAAAATAAAATCTTTACATATTTTTTAAGCAGGATTGTGTGTGCAGTCTTCCCTTTCATGTTGCTTCCTTACCCCTAGACGGGGTGTACAAGCCAGAGGCTTAGACACTCTCTCAGTTTAAAACTAAATTGAATATTTATACCCCTGCAACGAAAGAGATAAATTAAAAATGAATAATAATTTCAAATTATACGCTTTGTTGTTGTTGTTAATAATGACATTACTGTTATTATTGGCGTTACTATTGTTGTTGTTGTAAGGGTTAGAAATGCTAACTCAAAAGAAACAAGTTGGCAGACGCTTTTTTTTTTGGTTAAACTTGCAAAGTTTTGCTCAAAAACTAAACTTTTTAACTTAATGAAGTAAACTTTGATTTAGGTTAAGTAAACGTGTCAAATTTGTACAGACATTTTACTGAGTTTTGACAAAACCACAAAAAACAAACAAATAATCTCAACTTTTTTTAAGTTGGATTTTTTACAGTGTAAAAAAAACATTGTATAAATGCAAAAGTTACCTATGCTTTATACAACCTATGTAAAGATGGGTATTAATGGAAGTGGTGCTGGCTGACCAATGTATGACCGAAATTTCAGAACTACTGTACACATAGGCTACACTTTTTATATAATAATACAGCATTTGCTGTTGCAGGCTGTAAGAATGTGTTTTTACAGCGGTTCGAACTTTAGTTCTGCCGTATCATGACTAATAGTTATCAGTATGATGGTGAAAAACTGTACATTCTAGTCAAACCATCTTTCTGCAATCTCACACCAAAAATGAAAATAAGGGCAGTATCATGTGACCAAAGCTCAAATACTAAGACATTCAAACTGACCAATCAACATGTGACCACATCGTAAAACCCCCAGAGTCCACACACCAGGGGCCTCATGTATCAACGCTGCGTACGCACAAAAACTTTGCGTACGCCAGGTTTCACGCTCAGAATCGCTCACGTTTGGATTTACTAACAATGAACTGAACGTGGGAATTTGCGCAGGTTCACGGCAGCTTTCTGGCAGGCGTACGCACATTTTTTGTGCGTGTCTGTTTTATTTCCATTGGCGACTCCTAGAGGCAGTTGTGTTAAATTCTTCTCTACAAAGTGTCTGATCCTTGCAATGGCGTCTGTATGAGACGGGTTCATATAGTAGGTATGTAAGATTTCCATACCATACAGTTGACCAGCTAAACATTAAAGCACAATTTGCAGCGGTCGCCTGTTTTCCCAATGTAATCTGAGCTATCTACTGCACGCACATTGCTATAAAGAAACTATGTGAAGATAAATTTGCATGCGTGAATCAGAAACATTTCCATTCAATAAATGTGCAAATAAAATATGATGCACAAACTTATTGATGATTCCTACTTGTCTTTCTCGTGATAAATAGTGGGCAAAATCTGATATGTAGCGGGGAAAAAAAAGAAGAATGAATTCATCAGACGCTGGATTCGAGCCGAGTTCATGCTCGAACGTGTCAGTATATGATCATATGCTTCTTATGAGGTGCGCCACTGAGACTGCTAAGGGTACTGCAACATTTTACAGATATAAACCACACTATTTCTTTTTTAAATGCACTCAGACCCAACTGTGTTAACCGTATCAGCTAAACTCTCCCACTCTATTTTTTTTCTTTTGTTGTTAATTCCGCCGAACAAACTTGCAAATAACACCGCTTTTCTCCATTCTACCTCCGAAAGCAGCACCTCCATTTCACATTCTGTTCAAAGTTTCTCTTTTTGCTTGCTTTTGCCATTGCTTTTTCGTTGGGTTTTGACATTAGCATAGTCATTAGCATATTCATACGGGGGAGGAGGCAGGGAGGGGTTTTGTGCTCGTGCATGTTGCGCTCAGTTTCACGTTCATTCAGATGTACAAAAGAATATGCGTGACACTCGGCGTACGCAGTGTTTCATACATCTGAATTTTTTTCTGCGTACGCACATTTGCAGCTTTGTGCGTACGCAATGTTTTAGTAAGATTTCCACGCAAGTCTTCGTACATGAGGCCCCAGGCCACCAGTTTCTGCCTTTGGAGTCATTATGGACCTTCTTTGATGAAAAAGACATATTTTGCCATATAAACAAATGAATATGATAATTTCAGCCTGATCTCACGAGAAAACGTAAGTATTTTACGTTTTGCCAGTTTAATGGCTAATTCGTACGAATTCGTACGAGTTCAGTCATACGAAATGGTACGATTTTAAAAAGGAGGCGTGGTACCTGACCCCACCCCTAACCCCAACCGTCATTGGGGGATAAGCAAATCATACTAAATTGTACGAATTAGATCGTACGAATTCATACGAATTAGCCACTAAATGAAAAAGTTACGAATTGCCGTGAGATTGTGTTGGATAATTTACGGTTGTGCTGCAAAACGCATAAAAGAAAGAAACATGCATGTGTATACTTTTATTTGAAGCAGTTTATTAATTAATCAAAACACCCATCTTTTAGTCATTCAATGATCATGTTTAGGGGTGCATGAGATGTTGGGGAATTATGACAGTGTTTCGCTTAAGGCAGCATTTGAGTTTACACCAGCCTTCCAGGGAACAGCCCCCTGCAATAGACAAAACAAGCCGTTTACTAATTTAAGTCACTGATAATCATTGAAATGAGGAGGTTAAACCAGTGTGTTAACCTACCAGGTTGTGTTGGTTCATGGCGAATATCTCCCCATCACATACTATGACTCCACCTGTTCCTTCAGGATTTTCAGAACATTGTACAGGGGTCTAAACATACAAACAAATTAGTTAATGTCATATACTGATATATAGGTGACACGGTGAAGCAATAGGTAGTGCTGTCGCCTCACAGCAAGAAGATTGCTGGTTCGAGCCTCGGCTGGGTAGTTTGGCATTTCTGTGTGGAGTTTGCATGTTCTCCCCAAGTTTGCATAGGTTTCCTCTGGGTGCTCCAGTTTCCCTCACAGTCCAAAGACATGCGGTACAGGTAAATTGGGTAGGCTAAAGTGTATGACTGTAAATGATTGTCTATGGATGTTTCTCAGAGATGGGTTGCACCTGGAAGGGCATTCGCTGCGTAAAACACATGCTGGATAAATTGGTGGTTCATTCCGCTGTGACGACCCCAAATTAATAAAGGGACTAAGCCGAAAAGAAAATGAATAAATATATATATATATATATATATATATATATATATATATATATATATATATATATATATATATATATATATATGGTTGCAATCAGAATTATTACCCTGTTTATTTTTTCCCCAATGTCTGTTTAACAGAGAGAAGATTTTTTCAGCACATTTCTAAACACATTTCTAAACATAATAGCTTTAATAACTCTAAACAATAGATTTATTTTATCTTGCCATGATGACAATAAATAATTTTTGACTAGATATTTTTAAGACACTTTTATACACCTTAAAAAGACATTTAAAGGATTAACTAGGTTAATTAGGTTAATAGGCAGGTTATGGTAATTGGGCAAGTTATTGTATAACAATGGTTAGTTCTGTAGACTATCATAAAAAAAATTTGCTCAAAGGGGCTAATAATTTTGTCCTTAAAATGGTGTTAAAAAATTAATAACTGCTTGTATTCTAGCCGAAATAAAACAAATAAGACATTCTCCAGAAAAAAAAATATTATCAGACATACTGTGAACATTTCGTTGCTCTATTAAACATAATTTAGGAAATATTTAAAAAAGAAAAAACATTCTATATATATATATATATATATATATATATATATATATATATATATATATATATATATATATATATATATATATATATATATATTTTTTTTTTTTTTATAATTTTTTTTTTTTACTAATGTAGTAAACATCGGCAGCAGCAGTAATGCGGTCGATCTACCGGTCCGTTGTGGTGAAGAAGGAGCTGAGCCGAAAGGCAAAGCTCTCGATTTACCGGTCAATATACGTTCCTACTCTCACCTATGGTCATGAGCTTTGGATCATGACCGAAAGGACAAGATCTCGGATAAAAGCAGCCGAAATGAGTTTCCTTCGAAGGGTGGCAGAGCGCACTTTTATGGATAGGGTGAGGAGATCTGACACCCGGGAGGAGCTCGGAGTAGAGTCGCTGCTCCTTCACATCGAGAGACGTCAGCTGAGGTCATCTGTTTCGGATGCCTCCTGGACGCCTACCTAGGGAGGTGTTCCAGGCATGTCCCACCGGGAGGCGGCCTCGGGGAAGACCCAGGACACGCTGGAGGGACTATGTCTCTCAGCTGGCCTGGGAACGCCTCGGGATCCCCCCGGAGGAGCTGGAGGAAGTGTCTGGGGATAGGGAAGTCTGGGGTTCTCTCCTAAGACTGCTGCCCCTGCGACCCGGCCTCGGAAAAGCAGCAGAAGATGAATGAATGAATGACTAATGTAATATAAAAATTAATTTAAAGAGCCCATATTATGGGTTTTTGAAAATTCCCCTCCATGTAGTGTGTAACACAGCTCTAAGTGAAGTGAAGTATCCAGCTAAGGCTTAAATCTGTAAGAATACAGTGTTTAAAACGGTTGATTCATCTATAAAAGAGTCGACTCATAGTGCTTCAAACGAGTCGCCTTGATATCGATTCATTAGGTGTTTCGCCATGACGTACGAACGTTAACCAAGTTACGTGCACGCGCAAACCCGGGAAATTTCAAACCTGAGGCCCCGCCCTCTGACGCAGAAACCCAGACACACACGCACAAACACACACACACACACACACACACACACACACACACACACACACACACACACCCACACCCACAAACACACGCACACAAACATGCCGGTCGATTGAAGTCACACTGCAGATGGATATATTGAGTCTCTACCGAAAGATGAAACATCAGCATAATAACCAAGCAGTTGGAAAGTACTGGAAACTTCTGGAAGCTACATGCTACAAAGAATACTTCATCTGAGTTTGTTAAAGGAAGGATCAGTAAAGAGTAACTTAATGATGGACGTCAGGATGGGTTTCTTCCTACCTTTCTCAAGTGTAAGTATGTGCGGTTAAAGTTGTTGCCTCGTTGACTAGCTTGCAAATGTATTTAGTTGTGATTTGTTACTTGTAACCGAGTGTACTGTATCAGGTTAACTGGCTATTTTCTCTTATCGCGTGCAAAGCCACGTTAAAAACGCGACGCGTGCTGCTTTGTGTATGGAGCTCCGTGGTAGAGTTCTGCATTCCCGCGGCTGTCCCCGCGCCAGATTTCTGCGGCGCGGGAATAAATTTCCGAATAAATCGCGGGCGCGGTCGGTTACGGGTTTAATTTGGGACGGGAGCGGGCTGTCTAGCAATATCACGGATATTGCTATGCAAATGAGAAAGAGAGAGTCTGCTTGGTGCTTGTGTGTGTGTTATTGCGCACGCGCGCGTATGAGAGAGAGAGAGAGAGAGAGAGAGAGAGAGAGAGAGAGAGAGAGAGAGAGAGAGAGAGAGAGAGAGAGAGAGAGAGAGAGAGCGCGAGAGAGAGAGAGCGCGAGCGAGAGCGAGCTTTGTGTGCTTGGTGCTGTGTGTGTGTTTATACAGACATCTTGGCTGTCTGGACTGTATAGCTGGGTGATTTTTGGTTGTGTTCTCCCCCGCTCTAGCGGGATCGGGCGCGGCGGGCAGAAAACGGAGCGGGTTCTCAGGCTAAAACCTGGCGGGTGCGGGCGGAAGCGGGAGCGTTGTCGTCCGGAGGTGTGTGTGTGTGTTTTTGTGTGTGTGTGTGGCAGCTAAAATCCACGCCTACACTATCGAGCGTGTATGAACTGTGATTACTTTTTATATTGCTGATTAGCTATTGGCCATTTCACTCTCTAACTGAAGGCAGTCAACCAATCGCGACAGACTGTCATCGGTCCAATCAGCGCAGATTAGCTTCCCGCTAAGTAGGGGTTTGGGAACAAATGAATCACTGGACGATTCATACGGGAGTCACTGGGATAATTAGGTAAAAATAAATGCAGATTATAAGACCATGAAAGTGTTTTTTGACCTTGCATGTATATTAAACTGTTGTTGGAGACCCTTACAACCAAGATATGACCCTATTTCATGTATAATATGGGCTCTTTAATTAAAGAGACATGTAAAATGTTGCTTTAAAAAACTGTTACTTTATAGATAGACTTAATTAGTTTTTGTTTCACCCCAAAATAACAGTTCTGTTATCAAGTATTCACCCTTGTGTCTTTCCAAACCTCTGAGACCTTCTTTGGTCTTTAGAAGGCAAGGCAAGGCAAGGCAAGTTTATTTATATAGCAAATTTCATACACAGTGGCAATTCAAAGTGCTTTACATAAACAAGAATAAAAGAAACAAGTAAAATAAAAATAAAAACAAATAATAAAAATGCGTAAAAACAAAACAAAACATAAAAACAGGTAAAATGTGATATAAAAGAATGAAGAAGAAGAGAAAAACATGATAGTGCAATTTGTCGGACGCAGCACAGTGCTTATTCAGTAAAGGCAAAGCTAAACAGATGTGTTTTCAGTCTTGATTTGAATGTGCCTAATGTTGGAGCACATCTGATCATTTCTGGAAGCTGATTCCAGCTGATTCCAGCAGCAGAACACAAATAAAGATATTCATTCATTTATTTATTGATTTTTCCTTCAGTCTAGTCCCTGATTATGAGGAGTCCCCTCAGCGAAATGAACCACCAACTACTTTGGGATATGTTTTATTTAGTGGATGCCCTTCCATCTGCAACCCAGTACTTGGAAACACCCATACACTCTCACATTCACACAAACACTCATACACTACTGCCAATTTAGCTCGTCCAGTTGAACTAATGCATTCTTTTGTTAATAAATACAGTAACTAACATTATTTTATTGTAGAGTGTTACTGATTTTAAACTCAGAAGACGAAATTAGTGGTGAAAATGTAAATATTAATTAGTTGTTCCCTACAATTAAAGCTAACAGATGCTAACATTGCCTTCGTTGATGTTTAACACACATAAATCTGTAAAAGTCTCAGATCTTTTACAAATTTTGTTTGTAGGGTTCATGATCCTTTAAAAAGACTGAAGACTGAAATAAGTATTGTCTTTGGAATGACAAAAGGGTGAGTAAAAGATGAAATAGTTTTAATTTTGATTTGAACCCTTGAAAAAACTAAATACTTCACTTCAAAGTTTATTCATTCATTCATTTTATTTTCGGTTAAGTCCCTCTATTAATCTGGAGTTGCCACAGCAGACTGAACCGCCAACTTATCCAGCATATGTTTTACGCAGCAGATGCCTTTCCAGCTACAACCCATTAGTGGGAAACACCCATACACTCCTACTCTACTCTATTCACCTATTGTGGAGGAAGCCGGAACACCAGGAGGAAACTCACAAAAACGCAGGAGTACATGCAAACTCCTCAAAGAAATGCCAACTGACCCAGCCGAGGCTTGAACCAGCGATCTTCTTGCTGTTAGGTGACAGCGCTACCCACTGCCCCACTGTGCTGCAACTTCAATGTTGTTTTAAAAAATAAATTAATAATAGTGATATAATTTTGAGACTTTTTCCCAGATATTAAATTGCTGTATATTAAATATGTTAATGATATGTTAGTTATAAGTTAAATATGTTAATTTTGCTGGTTGAACATTTCATAAATGAACATTTTTACTTAACAAAGACAAATACCTTAATCTGACCCACTGGTTTGAAGAAGAAACAAAGGCTTGAACCCTAAAAAAAAAAAGAAATGTGATCAGCAGGATGTAAAAAAATATGTCTTAAATATATTTTGATCATCATAATATAGTAAAAGAAGTGATGTATGTATTCATACTGAAAATTTGATCTTGTCCTAAAAAAACAGACTGTTAGGGGTTCAGTAAATTATTATTTTTATTATTGCATGCAATGACAATCGCTTATGAATTTGGCCTTGTGGGTTTCCAACTTTCAGTTTGAAGTCGGTAACTTTAACCATTACATCTTAAGCTGTACAAAAATCATATTTGGTACTGCATCTGCTGTTCTCACATATATGTACTTGAATGATTCAATCGGTCAAACCCAGACTGATCTTGTAAAAAAAAATCAAAAAATCCTAATACATGTTTCGTATGCAATTCTGATCCCATAACTAATCGGTCCCTGTGGGTTTCTAACCCTCGACCTTCAGACCAGAACTTTGACCATAACACCACGTTGCACATAAATCACACATCGTATCCATTCAGCATGTGCTGTAAAGTAATAATAATGGAAATGACAGTAAATCAAAGATATTTCTAGTATACCTTCTAAAAACAACACCACGACAACATCAATTTACATTAGCCTCAAAGCTAACACTTTTACAACGGAATCATATAAACACTGAAAGAAAGCAGACTGCTGTCATTATTCCAACTGTACAACATGATGCTCAGCAATTACTCAACATAAAAATGATCTGTTTTAATAATATTAACAAAAATAGAATAAAATGGGGAAAATCCACAAGCGAATTTACATACGTACCATAACAACAGCAACGAAACGAAACAAGAAAGAGCGCCGTCTAAAGAAAGTCCTCCAAAGACTCACAATTCAAAGTAAGTAAAAAAAATTGTAAAAACAAATGTTGTATCAAATAAATATATTTTCCTTAACACACTTTTAAACAACTGATGTGTGATTTACCTATATAATCAATGTTTATATGATTAAATATGTGGAGAATCATTAGAAGCCACAAACATCCATTGTAACAACATTGTAACAAAATTGTAACAACTCAATTATTACATGCCCACAGAGATTGCAAAATAAAACTATATTAATTAGCAATACTTATTCTGATCAAGCAAAAAATGTAATTTAAACAAACATACAGTATCTGGCGCCAGTTTTGTCACTTTCGGTTACAATCCAACAATTTTGTACTTGCTTTTATGTCTTGTCTTCCTGAACTCATTCACTCTTCCATCCCCAAGTTGCTCTTCTGTAGATTCTTTCATGAGGTTTTGACTGAAGATAACCATTTCAAATGTGAATGCAGCAACTAAAACCAAGCGATTAGTCCAGGTAATGAGAAGGCAGTGTTCGTTTTTGAAATGAAACTGGCATGCTTCTAAACAGGATGAATAAACCACATTTAAAACCAATGAAACAAGCCATGTTGCCATAATTGAATGACTGAGCAGTTACCATAAAAACTTAACATGCTATCTAGTTCCTCATGACAGCTAGCTTTAGAGTACAATTAGTTTGCTTAACTAGCATTTTTTGGCAGTTAAACATTATATTTGAGGTATGATCTTACATGAGAGACATTTAAAGGTGTTAGTCACATAGTAGTGAGTAATTGATGTATCTTTTCAAAAGGTAAATATTTGTACCTAAGGTTTATATCTCAAAACCTTATACCAGATACATTTTAGTACTTGCACATTTCAAAAGGTATATTTTCAGTTTAGGTACTAATATTTATCTTCATAAGATATTAGGAAATCATTATTGACCCTGTACAAAAGTGTAAGGATACTGCCACAATAATGACTTTTATACTTTTCTTGCAGTGTATAAAAAAACAGGTTATGTGGTTTTAGGAGGCATCTTTCCATAGAAGATTGTAAACATCTGGTTGATTTAGATCAGGGTATTCACTGTTATTGAGGAACAAAGGAAGAGAATTAGAGAAGTAATTAAAGCATTGTGCTGAGTCTGACTGGCTGTGCTGCTGTGTAGTCTGATTTCTTCAATAATACCACAACAATACAGAGAAATTACTACAGAAGTAGACCACAGTGAAAGATGCATGACATTTATATACACTTAAAACAACAAACGAATGTAGAGATGCATATTTTCCAGTTTTTAACAAGCTCTTTTAACTGTAAAAAAAACTTTACAAACTCACAAATAAACTATCATTTTATTCAAAGACAATTATGTGGATAGAAAAAAGAGCAGTCAGAGAAATTGGGCAATCACCAGATGACTAATCACTCTGAAGAGTAAGAAAACAAACCAATGAATGCTATGACTTGGCAAAGCGCAACTCCTAACAGGAGTATATAGGCAGCACCAGAATGAGAGCAAGCCAGGTTTTAATCCCTAAAGAAGCAAAACATTCAGCTATCAGCTGGAGATGCAGGTGCTGTGGCAAGGAGACATGTCTCCATTCCCTCCTTTAGAAAAGGTGGCTTGCGGTCGTAACCATGATGTTCCCCTTCAGATCAGGAACTTTAACGTTGTGCCCTTGACACATTGGGGTGTATGGAAATATATATGGAAAGCACCACAGCAGATAGACCCATCACATGTTTGGTGAGCAGATTGCCAAGCAAAGCTCTACACAAGCCTTTAAGGATGACAAAACACGAAAACTTTTTAAGATATTGACAGTCATATATGTGTGCCATGTTGCTAAAAACACTATTAGGACACATATATTTTGCAACCACGTGAAAATTGGTTGTTTTTGCATAATTTCCAGCAAATTCCTTCTTTTGATTTGAAAAGAAATTTTGAAGCAACCGTCACAGAGATTAGACTATTGTGTGAATTCCAAAGTGGAGACTGAAAAGGATTTAGTTACTAAGTTAACAGTACATTACTATCACTACAATATTATGCCCTGAAAGAGCCGCTGTAAATGCGGCTCTCCGAATGTAAGCATGTAAACACTTTAATCAAACTATTATCCTCGTGTAGGATTTTCACCACATTTTGTGACGGGATAGTCTATACACACACTGTCTAACACTATTCTCTGCACCTACCGAGTGTATCTAAGTTACCAAAAAATAACAAGTTTTTTTTTCTCTCATACAGCATGTGGTATCAAAAATTCCATTAAAACTACACTCTTCCAGCAGTTCTCCTTTGTCACGGGGGGCATGCATAAAATGATCCTGAATGAAAGTGAAAGTTGCATGCTGCCATTAATATCAACCAATTAAGAATGAAACACCTGAAATTACATAAAACTCCAGAGGAAATGGAAAATGGGGTTCATTGCCTTTTAATTACCAGAATATGGGAATATTTAGACTAAAATTTAGGGGATTGAATGAGTCTTTTACCTAGATAACTGCAGACTAGGGATTTTAGAGATGAAACAGTATGTTGGGAAAACATATCAAAGTCCCAAAGATGAAGGACGCTGCGAAGGCCACCTGCTACCCAAATGGGGAGACTTGGTGTCACTTGGTGACAATATGAGCATATGGGTTAGCCCTATGCAGGGGAGCACTACATATGATAAAATGGTTAGCAGGTAGGGAAGACATAGGTCTGCCTGAGAAAAGAGACTTCACCATGGCTGAATGATGCATATGGGATCGCCAGTGTGGACCACACATACCTGGCATCAATCCGCACAAAGCAGACTGACCAAGCAGGCATATCAGCAATATAATGGGCAAAGCATCCAGCTCCTCCGCCAAGTCAGGTGTTGGGGACCTTGGAGGAACTCTCTTGGGTTTGCCTGATGGGGAGCTTACTAGGAGAGCAAAAAATAAGCACACACATCTTCAGGTTAGGGAGAATGGTGCAACAATCATTTTTCAACATGGAGCTTCTGGCTGGCTGGAGCTACTCAGCAACCGGAAGGAAACTGGCTCTACTCTAAGAATGGAAAATCTTATGAATATGTTAGGTGTCGTCAGCCCGCAACTCTACAGACATCTGCTAGAGAGGTGCTGCATGCTAATGCCCAAGAGGAGGCAGCACTTCTTGTTAAGTGTACTTTTACTTCCAGGGGACATGGCTTGCCCAGCTCTGATAAGTGAGGGCGATGGCATCCACTATCCAGTGGGTCAACCACTGTTTGGATACGGCCCTTCCCTTCTGCCGAATACCATAACAGACAAAGAGCTGCTCAGAGGATCTTATACTCTGAGTGCAATCTGCATAAAAGCACAAAGCATGCACAATACACATCAGTAAAAGGGCTGGATCTACCTCCTCCACAGGAAGCACTTGCAGGCTCACTAACTGGTCCCGAAAGAGTATGGTAGAAACCCTGGGCACATAGCCAGGCTGAGAACTCAGGATAAGATAAGAGTCAGCCGTCCCAAATTCCAGGCACCGTTTGCTGACTAAAAATGCCTCCAGATCCCAAACCCTCTTGATAGATGCCAAAGCGACCAGCAGAGCTGTCTACATGGACAGAATCCTTTTAGATACTGAGTCGAGTGACTCTAACAGATTTCTCTGCAGACCTGCTAGGACTAAAGATAGATCCTGAGGACATGAGAGGAGGGCGGGATGGATTTAATCACCTCACACCTCTGAGTATCTTTTTGGGCACAATGAAGTACTGGCTGTAAAACCTTCTCTTCATCTTGGCTGGAGAGACCGGTTTAATTGCATCCTTTGCCAGGAGGACAGTAATCTCCTTGCAAAGACAGGGGTGGTCGCAGATTTGACTACCGTGAAATACACACCCATGAACTTGAGAATTGCAAAATCCGGTCTGATTGTGCAAATGTTCCACCTTGACATGCTGGGCAGCACTACCTCTCTTCTCCCGATGGACCGTCTGTCATGACTGTGTTTGTCCACCTAATACCACTGTAGTTCGCCAGCAACCCCCAGCGAACTACAGTGGCTTAAGAACTACATTTCCATACATTCTTTCGCGCACACACCCGGTCTGTCATCTACACTGATTTACAACCACAGCTGTCTCCGTTCTCTGTTGATTACCTGGACTATATATTCAGTCATTTATCCTCTGTTGCTCGTTGTCGTCTTTATTGGTATGTTTGTTCCTGATTCCAGTCTGTATCCTGTTATTCTTGTTAAAGTGTAGTTCGAGTTTTATCTTTTTGAGTTCCCGGTTTGTTTGTTTGTTTGTTTTGTTTGTTACTTTGCACTTTTGATTTTTGTATTATTGTACTTTCTGTATAGTATAGTATTGTACTCTCTGCACAATACTATATTAAACTGCACTTGAATTCTACTCCTGTTTTTGTTCCTGTTTCAATCCTGAAATGTGACACCGTCTCAGGGTCCGAATCCACAGGTAGGTGCCCTCAACAAGGAGCCGGCCAAAGTGGATGCCAAACAGGCCTGCCTCAGATATGTGTCCATCACGAATGCAGGCTTTGTTAACGTCACATATATCGGCCAGGTTTAGCGTAAGGTGGGATTCCTGGACCACTAAAGTGACCTCGTCCTCCCCAGGACACAAGCAGCCAACTTGGGCAGTATTAACTCCAATTCCAAAAAAGACGGTTGTGAGAGTTAATATCCGAACAGACAAACTATTAAAAGTGTTGTAAAATTTAAATCAGTTTGACTTTATTACTCGCATATGAGAGGAACCGAACTGATTAAATGAACTCATGCATAAGCATCTCACATTTATTCTGTCTGTTACCAGAAGGTGGAGACTTCAAAATGGTTATAATGCCTTTCTTACTCCTAATATTAGATTTATTTACAGTCAGTACTTGCATGAAAAGTATAAAAAAAATCATTGCTCCTATTTAGGTGATATATGGTTAAGACAGAATTGATTAATGCTTTTATAATGTTTACTCCAAAATTTGCTCTTACCATCTAAGGGTGCTTTCACACCTATGAATCGATTCAGTTGTTCCGAAAC